TATACAAACTCTTTTGCAATTACAATACATCCGAGTACTGATCCCCTTAATGCTCTTTTAATTTTTGAAAATGCACTAAAAACTTATTTTTTAAAATTACTGATTACTTTTGTTCAAGTCCCAGTGAATGCATATCCCAAGAAGAAAAATTAGAACGCAATAATAGCTGAGAGAAACCCGACCCCCAATGTAATTTTATAGTAGCAAAACTAAAAGTTTATGAAATATTTTAAAATAAATGTTTTTATTTAATAAGTATAAATATTAATAAATATTAGAGATGCTTTATTTGTTATTTTATTGCTTTATAAACAAGCTGTAATGGGACACCTGTAGTCTCCAGTATTTACAACTATTTGAACTTGATCACAGATGTTCAGTGAGCTATCGTAGGCGGTCCTCATGTAAACATCAAGGGGAATCCGGATTATATCAGAGCATGCGGTAGTTCCAGGAATACACAAATTAGAACAAGTGTATTCGGTCATTACTACTATGTCTCTAGGGGAGAGTCCAACTTGTTTGACAGAAAATTTTCTAATTGGTTTACTACAAAAGTTACATAAGGAAATAGATAGCAGTCTATTTCCTTGTGTAATTTTACGGAAAGTGGGTAAACTTTATTTGAAAAAATTATAAGCATAGGGGGTGAAATAATAGAACTGTAATGGAAACGCGCCATGTTTGTTTGAGTTAAGTCAGTACAGGCGTTGTGTCCATTTTTCTCAACCCGAGTTAAGTCATTTAAAACATATAAAATCGTTACTTAGTTTCATATACATGTATCTGTATATGAAGTAATCATGAATCATGATGAATTGATGATGTGATAAAGGATATGTTTCAGAAAAGGAAATGCATATTTTGAGGTTGTTGGAGCATATAATATGCACCTAAAACGCACTTTTTATAACATAAAAATTCGGTTTCTAGTTATAATATACAGAAGCCATTGTCATAAGTTTGATAAAACAGCGCTATTAGGTTGCTGAAATAACATTTAAATACAAGTCAAAGCAAGAAGTTAAATGAAGGGTCTATTAATTATCAAGTATTTCCTTTTCTACAGAAGCATTCGTATCCAAAACTGTTATACAAGTAAGACAATAAACAATACACTAGTTAACAATAAATAGAATTACACCATAACAACAAAAAACAACTTAAAAATTTGAATACTGAACCCACTAAAAAAATGAGTTTTTCCAGCACAACTGGCAGAGATTTTGCAAGAATTTTTATTTTACGTATTTTTCATTTGTGTGAGGTTCTGGACAGATCCGAACTGTCACAAAATTTGCGAGAATTTAGTTGATTGAAAAACAATACAATTGATTAAAGTGGCAAGAAAAAAATAGTTGTAGTTGGGCACCTTTTGTTTATGTCAATGGTTCCCAAAGTGTGTGGCGCGGCTTCCTCACAGGGGCGCCACGAAATGTTATAAAATTTTTATAATGTTAGAATTTAATGTACAGTATTTATTAGATTTTGACATAGGGCACCTTGGGAAAATCTGCATTTAGCAAGGGTGCTGAGAATCAAAAAAGTTTGGAAACCACTGGTTCATGTTAAAATGAGACGCATAAATCATAAAACGTAGAACGAGCGTTGTCCTATGATCGGTTGGGAGATCGAATTCAACTTCGCGTTTAACCTCTCCCACACTCCTGGTTGGAGTCCCGTTATGCTTTGTAATGAGGAACAGCCACTCGGAAAGCGTGGATAAGGGAGATCAACCAATCAGAATGGCTGAACGAAAGACAGAGATTGATATAATCCCTGATCTTCAAGGACAAAATCACTTTCCGTAAACTGTTCACCTCATGGTGAATCAATGGACTCTGTACACAAAACGCAGAGTGTCATCACGTTGAAAGAAACAGTCTCCCTTCAGAAAAATTTCATAATCATGTATTGTCAAAGCCATTCTCCCTTTGCACTGTCCACTGTGCCAAGCACTACATTATCTATCTGCCAACATTGCCGATTCAGGTGTCCTTCTTGTCTACCACAGGGTTGCGACCAGCCAACAGGAAACTAGTAGAAGATTGGAGTTACATCGCTCCTCTACATCGGTAAGATTTATAACTGGTGAACTGTAACAAACTAGCTACAATATATATAAACCATTTCTGCAAATTATAAACGGCTTCTTTGTAAAACACTTATCATCTCTGCAAACTCACTAGACTATCTCTGACCTTGGCGGCCGGATGGCTGAGCGGTCAAGGTGACAGCCTACTGCTCTGGGGGACCCGGGTTCGAATCCGAAAGGGTCGAAAAATCCCAAGGAATTTTTTGGGGGCAGTCCGTTCAGATATATCGGGCCCCGTCCCTCACCACCCGGCAGCCCCATTTGTGGGCCTGGCCGAACCCATTATGGGCTTGCAAAGAGGCCCTCTTAGTGCCCACAGGGCGGAAAGAGTTAAAAAAAAAGACTATCCCTGACACAAGAAAATAATGTTTCCTCTCTGACAGTCAGCAAACTCACACTGGTGTCAGAAAAGCGATTTTTAAGTCCCCGAACTCCATCAGCGTCAGAAAATTCACTTATTTCTTCACATCGCCAATAGAATAAACTTGAAACTGTAGAATATGCACGTATGATGGGGTTTGGCTATAGGACACAAATTCTATTTTCATACTGTTAATATCACTAGTACTGCGTAAAAAATTTGTATTTATAAATCGAATTTATACGAGAAAATTGTATTATTGAATACTTGTATTATTGAAAAAAAAATAATATTTATATTTTAACAATAATTAAATTTATTTTTTTGTTAATTTGAAACCATGTCGTAATACGTTTTTGTTCCTTAACATTATAAAGTGCAATTAATCGAACACTAGGCATCCTTTAGTTCTTTTAATTGTTTATTTAGTTGATACACTTAGTTTACACGTTTTGGGCCATATGTTGCCCCTCTTCAGTCAACTAATTTTTAAAAATGTACATAATTACTACTTGACATTAAATTGATAAAAATGATACAAATAATTTACAAACATACCTTCAAAGATTCATCTTTACGAACGATTGTAATAAATCAAGTGATAACAATAAGCATGTTATTCTTAAAATAGCATACAACTTTGCTTTATTGATTTACAAGTTTTACACGGTTTTAACAGCGCAAAAGTGGTATGCCATTTCAAATGTAATATGCTTATTGTTATGTCTTGATTTATTGTAAATTTTCCAAAACAAGGAGAAATGAAAAATAAAATTTAAAAAAATTAAAAAAAACTAATAGGTAGGTTTAAAATAAATAAATACAAATGTATTCTGACAGTAAATGAGTTAATTATGCTTTTTATTTGCAAAATTCCTCAACCTTAACACAAAATAAGAAAAAAAGTGAATTTTTAAGAAATTTGCGGGATTTCCCGGGATAAGAAACATTTCCCGGGTTAAAAAAACAACCGGGATCCCGGAATCCCGTTTGAGAAACCCTAGTTGATATCGATTCAGTCATGATAGAAATGACCAATTAGAGCATATAAAAACAGGATTTTCAAAGCCAATTGACGGCAAAAAGGTCTCCCATAGACTTAGCATTCAAAGTTTTAAAGGTAGAGTTTTCTCGAGAATATTTATTGCTAAATAGTTTTGAAAACATGTTTATTCGTCTAAATACTGTCAAACAACAACTCGTTAGCGAAGAAGAAGTGAAAAAACGATTAAAACACGCGATTGTATTGTTTACATAATTCGATGTGGTAGTTGGCTTGGGCATAGCATTTCTGGGAATTTTTCCGGCAATTGTTTTTACAGGTGGATCTAATAACAGACAAACAAATTAACAAATTACAGTGTAAAAGAAGTTTACTATCGATGTTATCTGCCAATAATCTGCATTTTTACCTCTAGTTTCTGTAGAATTTTAGAGGGTGTAATATTGGATATACTGAAATATTTTTGGCGCGGAGTTTGAGAGAAGGAATTTAATAGTTGGGACGGTTAAAAAACACATACGAAAAAGCGAATCAAAAGTTAGATAGCAACAGACTTCTTTACAGTTTGCAAAACACGCTTCTAAATTTGATTAATTTTTTCCTGAAAAATTCCTAAAACATAAGACTGATACACTAGTTATCGTTATCGTTATCTATATATATATATAAATGGACGTGTATGTCCCTATATTTCACTTTTCAGCCAAAACTACACATCGCACATGAATGGTGTTTGTATGTGATAGTAGCCCCAAGTCTCCATTCGTGCACTATGGTGGTTGCGTCTCGATAGCTATAAGAGTGCGGGAGATATGGGCTTGAAAGTGAAAGATTTTCTATTTCGACTTTAAAAATTTTCGAATTCGAATTTAAATTCGAATTGGTTCGATTATAGAACGATTGTAAACGTTCCAGAAAATTGATCAAATTAAAAATAGTTCGTTTGACTGGACGTAAAAATTCTCTAATTAGTCTGGAAACGGGGGACCTAATTCTTGCATTTTGTGCTATAAGGGTGTGGGATATATGGGGTTGAATGTGGTTGACTTCGAAGATGTGTAACAATGGAAGTGTTAACAGTGGAAGTGTTAACAGTGGAAGTGTTGAGTAACAAAGGAAGTGTTAATATAAAGCGGCATGGAAGATTTACAGGTGGTTTTTTGCGTTTTTGCGGGAAATCGAACATATTTTTAGACTCATGTAAAAATTCTCTAATTAGTCTGGAAACGGGACACCTAATTTTTGCATTCTGTGAAAACGGGTAAGATTGGCTATAATGTAATTATCTTAATCTTCACTATCGTTACTTTTTGCCCAGCGAAGCGGGTCCTTGCAGCTAGATTCTAGATTACTTAGAAAAACAGTCTTTTATATATAAAAAAATTATATTACATACAAATAAAAACCCAGCGAAGCGGGTCCTTGCAGCTAGTAAATAAATAAAAGGATAAAAGGATGCCTAGTGTTCGATTAATTGCCCCTTGTAGTGCTTAAGCAACAAAAAAATAATTAAATGTAATTAACATGTGTCATTTGTATACCGATTTAACTACTTGACCGAAACTTCCAATAAATTCACCACGTTCATTCTTTCCTATTCCCTGTTCTGGTATGGGTTCGGCTGCTTCATAGCTAGAAATAAAAAAAATTTACATAATTAATTGATTTAAAATATAAAATAATCTGAAATATTTATATCTCACTATTTTCATATTGGGGAGAAGTGCATAATGTAATATCACACACTGTATACAGCACCGATTCAAGAACCCTTCTCGCCTACCCCGCCTATTTCAAAATTGTCTTCACAAGTTTGTGTGAGAACCTGGACTATACAACAAAATAAATAACACGATTTCATCATACCTGTTGTCATTTACTACCTGAAAACATTTCAATTTACATGCTCTCGACGGCGAAAGACATGCTTTCCCGTTATCTCTTGACCTCCAGGCCGTGCATTACTGATATTAATATCGGAACTGACCGAATGAGTCAGTGGCCGCTTAGTCCTCAACTGAGATAGTTAACTCTGTGCCTCTGATTCAGAATAACGTCACCTCCACATACGGAATATTCTGAACCACAACTGGAGAGAATCTTCATACAGACATTCTGTCCTGACTTTAATTTAATTTACTACCGCTTTGAGAAATTAACTACTTGTAAGATGCTGCCAGATCCCAAACTATCCCAACGTACCGACCCTCTCCTGTGTGAAATCTTAAAGGTCAGTCTGAACCATCTTTCCCTGATTTGCAAGTGAGTATCTTCAAATTCCAGGCATTTATACCAAAGCGACTACAATGGGATATAGTTAAGACTACAATGGGGCGAATGGGTTGTGAAGGACGGAGACCTACATATCCAGTCTGACTAACCCCAAAAAATTCTTGGGGATTTTTGACCCATCCGGATTAAAAAATTATAAAAATATAGTTGTGACATTGTTAGCAAGAATTTGTAATAAATAAATAGTTACGTTGATCCTCTAATATTGATTATTAACGAAATAAGTTGGTGACGTTTAAATTTGTGGATTAATCAAACAATTTAGGCTATTCGAAACAAATTGTATGTAAGATCGCACAGAAAAGTTATAGTTTACAAATGTAGATGAAAAGTTTATGGTGTAAAAGTAAAAAGGTCTGCAAATCAGAAAAATCTGTGAAATAACGAAGTTCTAAATTATATTGAAAAGTTATTTGATGGTACTGTACATTTTCATATAAAAGAGGAATCACGAAAAAAGACCTTTTAGATAAACTCGAAACAATATCATATGTAAATCTAGATCTAAAAGTACTTAAATGTGTAAAAATATTAAGTACTGGGTGTTCAATGTATAAATGTATTTTAAAAAATAAACAAATTATTTCAAAAATCCTCTAATATCATCTTAAAGATTATGATCTCTATGAATAACTTTTTAAGTTGGTGGGGTGACAGACTGAAAGCGAACTACGTAATTCATGCGATTTTTACTTAAAATAGACGATTTTCTTTAAAAAATGATGTTTAAAAATTTTGAGAGGATAAACTGCAAAATTGTTTTGAAATTATTAAATTCCAGTACCGAAGAAAAACATGCAATTATTGTCGGAATATGCGAGATGAGGAATTAAAAATAGCAAGAAAATGTTGTTGGAGTAAAATAATATAATTGCAGGTAAGAGCTTTTATCATGAATATATTGGATTTATTTAATAGATATATCATGAATTTATAGCTTTCCAAAATGTGAGCTAGAATTTATAGGTGACCGAAAATTGATGCCTCTTTTAAGAAAATTGTAGCATTAAGTTAATAATGGGCTGTTTTATTACATTTTAATTTAAAAAAAGTATAATATTTTAGCGATTTCGCAATTTTTCGATTTTTTCTCATTCACCAAAACTTTTGTTAGAACTAGTATTATTCTACTACTAACACACCTTTCCTAATGACTTCAGATCCATGCCAGTCACCTATGTAAGTCCATTCTGGGGAAAAAATTTGAATTAAAGACAAATGTATGTATGTATAAACTTAATCAAGGTTATCTGTCATGAAAATTTTTATATGTAGTCTTAACGTTTAGCTATCTAACAACGTTTTACAGATTAAGGAAGAACAGACAAACAGACAGACAGAGGATAGTGGCAATTTATAGGTCTACAATCTTTACAAATTGTTGCCCCAAAATGCTGCATGTTATAGAAATTGTATCACGTGAGTTTGGAGAGAACCCGTTAAATGCAGTTCGAAAGATTTACAAGTTTTGGAATGAAATACTATAAAGCACTATTGAAAATTGCTTTACGCAAAGAAGCATCAAGAAATTCTTGGACGTTTCATTCAAGAATTTCTAGGCGCTTTGAATAAATCGACAATATCCATCAGAATCCACCATAAGTATGAAAGAAGTGTTGGCCGACATCATTATAGCGGCAAGTGACGAAAACTAACTTTCGATGGTTTTTGTCAACGTTAACAATGACGAAGCTGTGTGTCGGACATTTATTTCAAAACGACATCATTCTTGCAAAAATACAAAAAGGAAAGATTAAAGATGAAAAAAAGAATGAAATACAATCAAAGAGAATTTTTCTGCTTCACACGTAGAGAAATCAGAAAAGCTGTCAACTGTTAAAGGTTTCTAGGCACTTCATAATTAACTGCATTCATAAAACGATCTGCTTTCGATACGTGGAGAGCACCGAAAAAATTGTTGAGAAAGCAGTAATGAATCGTAGAAATGTGACAGATTTTTCTGACTGAAAGTGAGAATTTAAAAAAAAGAAAATGATAATACTTAATTTGTATATACATATTATATAACATGTTATATGATATTGTGATATTTACAGTCTCAGAAAATAATGTAGTCCCTGTAAGTCGAGAATTTTCACATGTCCTGCCCAAGTAGATTTATCAAGAGTCTAATTGTATATACAGTAGTAAAATCCTGTTTGACGTCATGCTATTGTTTAAAATGAGTTATATCATTGCGAGTAGCCTATATCTTTATCGAATAAGTAACGGGTAGAGAAAAATCAATAATAAAATTACTCACCTAATATTTAGCTTCCTTTCTGCAGCTAGAAGAAAGTCTGTAAACTCTGCTGAATTTTTGTCTGCTAGATTGATCGACTGAAAAGGAATTTAATGAAAATGCATTTCATTTAGTAGAATGGTTACTTAAAAAGAAAATGGAAAAGATTTTACCTTTCTAATTGCAATTTTCCATCTTCCATGTCTTTCTCCTTTTTCGACTAAAATGATTTAAAAAACATTATCATTCCAAAGCGTACATTTCTTACGTTTAAATAATTAATTTCTTATTAATTTCAAATTAATGTTCATTTAAATGCAATTTATCAAAACAAAGTAAAAGAAATTAATTTATTTTTTCGTTTGAATTTTATAGAAGATTAATTTTCTAAGTTTTCGTTTCATGTATTCTCTTTATATGCAACTAGAAGATGAGCCTGGTGTTGCTCGGACAAAAAATAACAGTAAAGATTAAAATTATTAGATTATTTCGTACTTCTAACCCTCTTACTATATTATATTATAGTATTTATTTAATTTTAGAAAGGTTATCCTATGTATGAGTTTCTCACATCAAGTGACTAATCTAATACATTTTAAAAATTCTTTGAACTGTGTACAGTAGATGAATAAATATTTCTAATAATGTGTTAGATTGATCACTAGGTGTGATAAACCCTTACGTAAAATAACCTTTTTTGTTATATAAATCAAATACTATGATATAACAAACACTAAAAAACGAAAACCATATAAATAGTTTGGTTATTTCAGCTTACCATCATCACGTTTATCGTGATACTCGTATTGGTATGAAATGGCACAATTTCTTTGCTGAAGTAAACATCAATTGAAAATATGATATTTTAAATTTTTTAATACAGTACAGTAGACCTCCCTATAACACTGTTGATTTTTCCGTTTTATATGAATTCCATGTTGTACCAGTCACTTAGATATTACAAATACGTGTGCCGGGCTGTGAACAGGTCACGTATTTATAAAATCTAAGTGACTCGTACAACATGAAATTCATATAAAACGGAAAAATCAACAGTGTTATAGGGGGTCGACTGTTTATCATATTTTTTCTTAATGTTAACTCCACGAAATCAACATTCACAGTCAAATAACAAACGGTAATTTGCCAACCAATGAAATTTGGAGAAATCGGAATAAATATTTAAATTCGGCACATTCGAAAACTGATTAAAACATATTTTGTGCAGCCCGGTAATCACGTATTAAGTAATTTTCCTATTCCAATGCCACTGTCTGTCCTAATAGAAATAAGGGACTGTTGTGAAAGGGGTTTGAAATTCAATTAAAAGTAGTCGTTTACCTCTTCTCAGCAGAGAGCATGCTCAACCACTACTAATTAATACAGGTATACGATTAAATTAATTAATACGTGAAACGTGATCTGTGTTAGAGAAATTCTGATGGCCCTACATGTGATTACTGTTGCTAACTTTAACTTCCAAAAGTCTTTATATAAAACTTTATACAAGTTTTATATGAAGAGATTTTGACAAGATTATAAAAAATAATCTTATCAAAATGCGAAAATAATTCCTTTTATGTGATAATAAAGTGTTGGCAGCGAATTAGGTGCACACTTTATACAGCAGACAAAGGAAAATTTAGGTGTTATTCATGATGAAAAATCTTAACGTCACTTTCCACATCAAATATGTCACAGACAAAGCTAAAAAGATGACCAACGCCCTCGCTAGACTTTCTAGGAACACTTGAAACAAAGGTCACTGCGCTATCAAATTTATTTACAAGGTGATCATTCAGCTTATCCTCCTTTATGCTGTACAGGTGATGTGGACTTTAAAGTACACAACAGACGAAAATTGCTCTTTGACAAGAGAATTGATGCTCCTCACATTTGCAAGGCGTATTGGTGATATCAGATGTTACCCCGATAAATATAAAAATTAAGAGAATCATTTAGAATGTGAATCTAGCCAAAGAAAGTTGGCAAGATAATAGCAACTTGGATGTTGCCAAAATTATTAAGGACTGTAAGAATTGATATAAAATATTTTGTAATAATTAATTTTTTTTTTGCCGTATTTTTATATCAAATGTATTTTTAATTTTATATGAAGTGCAACCACCAGAGCGATATTTTAACTGTTTTACGTTTAGGCCTTGCAGCCTAAAAAGTCGACTCAGCCGTGAAATTGTTAATTCCTTAAATGTGTGTTTGAATGGACTGTATTGGAATAAAGACACATTTTATGTATTGTTTTTGAGGAATCTTTTTTAAAGATTTTTGTAAGGAGAAAATACACTTTATACACTACTGGATACACTTTACACTTTATACACTACGGATACACTACTACTCGGGCTGTACACAGAATAGCCAGGTCTGAAAGCCAACTTAAATTTGTACATCTCATATATGACATTCTCGGGAACTTAAATAACAACATTTTAGGAGATTTTCAATGGATACCGGATCATATGATGATCCTCGGAAACGTGGCTGCCCATCATCTTGCCAACTCCGCTACAAAGTCCAGAGTCACTTACACTTTCAGTTATATTCCTACTTATTATATTGACATGCACGTCAAGAAACAAATTACCATTCTCTGGCAACATTGCTACCGATAAGTTTGCGTACACTTTATGTCCCTGGGATGGCAGCGATTATTGTGACTACAATTGCGATTATTAGTCACTTTTCCACTAGCTTTACCCTCGTTCAGCTTCTTACAAGCCATGGCAAATTTAACCAATATCTGCAATAGGTTGAATACATTATAATCAAACGTCTATCTATCTCGTTTAATTTTTCATTGCCATAGGTACACATGAACATTAGATATAGCTTAATGAGAATGGCAATTTTGGAGGAATACAACTGACTTTGCGCACCACAGCAACTCATCCAGATAGGTTAGTTAGTTAGGCCATTGCGTTGCCTGCGTTGCCTAACTAAGTAACACGTTAGTTAATTAGGCAACACAACACTTAAGCAATCTGTCTAGGGGAATGCCTTCTGGGAGGTCTTTCTAAAGATAACTGAATCCTATTCAGGCGTTACAGGCGTAGAGGCAACCTGGAAAACTCCGCGTGGCCAGCCTGTCCGGGCCACGACAGCTGCATTAATTATTGGTGTACGTTTCAACCCAAGTTTTTTTCTAGGCCCACGGCCTTGCAGCCTAAAATCTATATATCAGCATTAAACAAAGCAGGTGTAGTAATCTTATGTTTGCCGCTCAGAGATATTCATTCTTTTTCTTCTTTCTATCTGCTCATCATTCTTTACTTTCCCTCTTTCCCCACTTATTTCGCCGGCCAAACACTTTGTTTATGCCCGTGGACTTTCATTAAGTAAGTAGTTACACAAACACAAAAGAAGATTAAGAAATAAAAATGTTACCTGTGTCTCTGCAATAAATACATCAAGAGAAGTAGCCAGTGCAATAAATGAAATAATTAGATCACAGTAAAATCATCTCCAAGGTTTATAAAGATAAATTAATATTTTATCTAGGAATTACTTCAATATATTAAGTAAAAGTATGTTATCGTTTTGAATTTCATTTGAAATTTTAACAATATTCCACAAACAAATATGTTTTTTAATTATACACAGTAGGCCTATACATGCATATCAAAAAGAAATGTTGAAAGTCAAAATCAAAGTAAATTATTTTAGAATATACAATAATTGCTATTCAATTTGCACGGGGCCATGGTACCAAAAACGTAAGTTTTTTGAGGTGCCTGACATGGGTTCATATACAGCTCGTTTTTTTAATGAAATCTATTTTATCATTTAAAATATAGATTTACTTTCTAAGCGCAGTTTATTGAAATGTTTCAGAGCATAATATGAAATAGTCATCAGAAATTTCAGTGTCATCTTTAGGGCCCTGCCCCAGGACCCCAGACTGTAGGGGGCCCCTAATCCGAAAGTAATAAAGTTACAAATAAAAAATGGGTTAATTAAAATAAACAAATTATTAAAAATGTCAAATAATTTATTTCTCTTATACGTAGTTAAAAATAATCTTAAAACTAAGCAAACTTACAAAATTTTTGATACCTTTTATTCACCACACCTCGGCAGAAAACGGTACTTTCTTCCTGCTGCGCATAAAGAAAATTCCACTTCCTGGCCGAGGGAGGTGAAAAATCGTATATACTCCATGGGAGGAAACAAATAATGCATCCCTAGGTCTGTATTATTTGGGGAACAAATAATACAGACCTAGGGAAACAAATAATGCATCCCTAGGTCTGTAATATACTATTGTTTCTGTTTCATTAAGGGGTCCCCATCTTGGTCTTGACCCAGGGCCCCTTACGTTCTAAAGACGGCACTGAGCAACTTTCAACACTAGTAGTTCCAATATTAGGCTTTAGCAACATAATTGTATATCCCTACATTGTGTCTCGTGCCATTCATTACACAATCCTAATTAACCCGATATTTGTAACGAATCACATTCAAACTAATCTCCATCTGTAAAAAGACAACAACAAACAATGTATTGCTAGATTGTGTAGCAATAGCATGCATTATATTGAATCCTAGAGTAATGGCAGTTATAAACTCTGTTGCATTTTTACTCGACAGGCATAAAACCTGCAACTTCTTTAGAAAAAATATCTGTAACCTGCCAGATAGGCTATTTGCCAAGTTGAGTTTTACAGGATTTTGAGATGTAGATCTATTTTCCCTCATATTTGCCAGAAATGAGAAAATCAGTGCATTCATTCTTTGTGTTGTTTTCGACCCAAACCAGCATATATTTGCATTCTTTCATGGTAGCAGAGCGTGATTAGGTTTAATAATCGAGGTATACCATATGAAGAAAACGTAACTGGAGAATCGAGTAAGTGATATATTACTGTTTGCTAACGAAGGGATAACCTGTTTGAACAATGCCACGAATAGTGTGGGGACAGCACATAGACAAACTCGATAATGGTAACTACGATCCGTGGAAGTTACAGATACGTAGCATACTTATTTGTAATGAATTTTGGCCGTTTGTAAATGAATCTATAGAAAAACCAAACGCTGATCCCGGTGGAATAGATTGGCAAAGAAACAATGAAAAGGCTTTAGCATTAATTTTACTAGGTGATAAGCAGAACCAGTTGAGCCACATAAAAAGGGCAGAAACTTTCAAAGAAGCATGAGATGAGATATAAAGGATACATAAATCGAAAGATCCAATTAAAACAGTTCTATACAGTCAACTTGATCAGATGAAAAAAGGAAACCGAAAAATCAATGTCCAGACATGTAACTGAATTTATGGAAAAATCTAAACAATTGGATTAAGAAGTTATCCCGATTCCAAGTGAGTTACTATCTATAATGTTATTAAATTCATTGTCTGACGAAAACAAAACATTTCGAATTGCCATTGAGTCCAGAGACGATATATCTAAGCCTGAATCGTTAAAAATAAAACTAATTGAAGACGAAACAAGACGACAAGAAAAGAAAAAGTTTGCAGTCGAACAGAGTGTGCACTATACACAGAATCGAAACAAAGGAAAACTCCTTCCCGACAAAACTACTCAAAAGGAAATAATCGTCTTTCTTCGCAATTCACAGGGACATGTTACATTTGTGGCAAATGTAACATGTCCCTGTGAATGAAATGAATGTAGAAATAATAACAGATATTCGCAAAGAAACAGTACACGAAAAAAGGGTGATGCTATGGCAATCACAGTACAAGCTGTCCAAACTCTAAAGTCAACAGACTGGTGTTGTGATAGCGTGTGTGTAATGACTGTACGAAATTTATAGAGATAAATCGAGATCTCCACATAGAAATACAAACTGCAAAAAGATGCATTAAAATCCATTGGAACTGGATTAATTAATGTAAACGTGCCTGTCAACAACACGAAAAATACAATTAAGCTGAAAGACGTCTTAGCCGTTCCAGATTTAAGAAATAATTTGATATCTGTCCCTAAAATAACAGAACATGGATATTCCGTCACATTCAAAAGAGAATCAGCAATTGTTACTCGCCAAGATGGTTCCATCGCTATGATAACAAAGAAAAGAGACCAACTATACGTAGTTAAACCTGACGCAGCATTAAATGCGGAAGAAAGAGCAAGTGATAATATTTTGAGATGGCACCAACGACTCGGTCATCTAAACGTCAACGAATCTAAAGAAACTATGAAACAAAAAAAATGTTCTTTTAAAAATAAAGACATAGTCGTTTCCAAAAAATTCTTGGGTGATCATCATATTTCTTCACCTTCCTCTCCATTGACGAGTTAACTCGTCAAGTTTACATAGCATTACAAACAACTTGGTCCTTTAGGCCCCCCAAATTTGTTTTTGGATTTTTGGAATGTTTTTTGTCTCCAAATTTTTTAAAAATTTTTACCCGCGCAAAAAAATTTTATCGCGATTTTAATCAACCTTTAATGACGCGCGATTAACGCTTAATTGTTTTTAATGCGATTTTTTTACCAAAACTAATTAATCGTTCTAAAGTTGTAGTGCACAGATTTGACTTAGGTAAAGTTATTTAAAGCTACTTTCTGATGTCAAAAACGACCTCCAATAGTTTTTTAATTTTTTAAATTAATGTATTTTATTATATATAAGTTTAATTAAATCGGGGGGGGGTCGGAAATCGCAATTAAAATTTTAATTTTTTAAAAATATTTAAAAATATAGGTGTAGCTAGTATTCACCCTACTTTAAACCCTTGTCCTCCCGAGATGTCTATGAGAATGTCTCGGGAAATGCGACACCAATGTTCTCAAGGTCACCCAGCTGTAAACACAATGACTCATCAGTGTCAAATTTCACAGAAATGCGAGACAAAGGAAGTTAAACTTTGAAGCTTTTTCTTCAAAATTAACACATTTCTTTCGTTTTTTTCAGTTTTAAGTATTTTTTATGTTTAATTATAATTAATTAAAAATTGATCGGGAATCAAGCGGTTAAATGTTCCTTAGGTCGGGTCGTCTGAAGTTTTTAATAAGGAACATTTAAAAGAAATATGATGATCACTCAAAAATATTTTGGAAACGACTACATCTTTATTTTTTAAAGAAAATTTTATCATTCAGCGAAAATTTAAAAGAAAGAAATGGTAACCAGAATAACATTGGAACAAACCTAAGGTAGAATTGATTGTAAGATACTCTACAAAGGAAAGATTTACCAATTACCCTTTAAATCCTCCGATATGAGAGAGAAATACATACTGGGATTAATCCATTCTGACATATTTGGTCCGATGAGTATGGAATCCCTAGACGGTTATATATTTTGTGAAATTCATTGACGACAAGACAGGCTACATTGAGTTAGCAATGCTCAGACACCGATCTGAAGTACTTCACGCATTTAAACGCTACAAAAAAAAGGAACGAGTCGAAAATGAAACTGGTCAGAGAATCAAAAGGCTCCATACGGATAACTCAAAAGAATACTTATCACAAGAATTTACCAGCTATTTTGAAGAAACAGAAATAAGGAGGCAATTAACAGTCGAGTATACTCTCAACAAAATGTGATAGCAGAACGAGCAAACAGAACTCTATTTGAGACGACGAGATGCATGATGATTCAATCCAAGGTACCTCAGAGTTTATGGGCAGAAGCCATCAACATAAGAAATCTTTGTCCACTAATGCTTTAGAAGAAACTCCATTCGAGCCGTAGACTGGAAATAAATCCTATGTTGAACATTGAATAGAAAGAGAAGAGGCTACGGGAAAGATAAGACTTACTCAAAAAAGTACGCTAAAGACCTCTTTAAAAAAATTAACATGCAAGCATGTAAACCCGTTTCAACACCGATCGAATCAAATCAGAAATCGACAAAATAAATGGCTCACAATCAGAGATCGAAATGAATGAAATGAAAGGAAGACAATACAGAGGAGCATGTCGGCGGACTCCTTTATCTGGCGAACTCGACACGTCCAGATCCGGTGTTTGCGGCTAGCATGTTAAGCTGTTTTTTGCACCAATCCAGGCATCATTCATTGGAGAATGGCCAAGAGAGTACTCCGATACATTAAGCAACTATTAATTCCGAACTATTAAGCAACTAAAGTACGAGAAATACGACAAGAAGCTGTTTACATATGTTGACTCAGATTGGGCTGGTGATGTTGACCAGCGGTCCCCAACGCCGCGGACCGTTCAACGTTTGATAACTTTACCGCGGCCCACTGAGAGGGGACGTTGATTGTTCATATTTTAGATTGATTTAATTTAATAATTTTATTTTAACTGTATTTAAACATGCCTTCAGAATAAAATACAATTACACCAAAAAATGAATATAATGTGATTTAACATTTTAACTCGCTAGAACGCTAAATCAATGAGAGCCCTGAGCTTGTTTCTTTGCAACGAGACAGTTCCATCTGGGGGTAATAGAAGACAATGAAACTCGAAGTGTGTTTCTTATGTCCACTTTATTTCGTTGTTCTGTTGTCTATTAAAAGTCGCACAAACCCGAGACAAATAAACCATAGTAAATAAAATGGAAATAATTTAATGTTCCTTGGGCGGCCCGGTACCATTTGATACACGGACCGGTACCCGGGGGTTGGGGATCACTGATGTTGACGACCGGAAGACTTCATCAGGTAACATGCTAATTCTAGTTAAAGGACCTGTTAGTTGGGAATCAAAAAAACAAAAATCTGTTGCGCTTTCAACGATGGAAGTAAAATACATGACCTTATCCAACATGACCAAGGAATGTCACATGAGAAGGATGCCGAAAGAAATGGGATTTGAGAGTTATGTGGATACACCAATAATAGTTCACTGCCATAGCCAGAGCGCTATTCAGCTAAGCAAGAATGCCGTTCACCATAGCAGAAGCAAACACATTTACATCAGGTATCACTTCTCTCGTGAAGCTCAAGAAGAAAGGAAATTAAAATATAATACATCCCAATCACAGAGATGAGAGCGGATATGCTAACGAAGGCTCTTCCGAGAAGTAAACATGAAGTGAATGTCAAGCTACTTGGACTGAGCAAAGGCCTAGACAGAACTACCAATAACTGTTTGTGTTAGTGGAAATAGTTAATACAATATGTATGATATATATGTGTTAAAAACTGTAGAAAAATTGTCGAACATTTAATTATAACCTACTATATGTGCAGACTCCGGGCATACCGATAGAGATATGTTGAGAAGTTGTAAATGTAACCTTTAGAACTTAGTATCGTCGCACCCTCTACTCTACAGTCCAGTCCGCGCCATGTTCGAATTAGTGAAAACACTGTTAAGTAGCACGTGGCATTCCTACATTCATTCTTTGTGTTGCCTTCGACCAGAACCAACATAGATTCGCATCCTTACAGTAATGAGTACTGAAATAAAATTTCTCAATGAAATCAAAGAATTTTTTTTTGTAAATTTAGAAACTAATGTTTTTCTGTAAATATAAAATTATAAATCATAAAATTATTATAAAATACAATAAATTAAGAAAAAGAAGGCAAAAGCTATTGTTTTTATTACAATTACACCAAATATTTGAAATAGAGTTGAAATTTTGTATTTATAATGTAAGAAGAATTCACAAAAAGTATTAAATATTTACCTTCATTTCCAAAGATTAGATACGCCTTACTTATGACCAGTATAAACAGAATTAATTTGTTTTTATTTTCCATCCGATCTGAAATATACAAATAAATATTCTGTAATAATTAAAATTCTATTATAAATTTTAAATTTATAAACAAAATGTGACATCTATTTAATAATGTTCAAGAGTAATATTAATATATATATATAAATGGACGTGTGTGTCCCTGATATTTCACTTTTCAGCCAAAACTACACATCGCACATGAATGGTGTTTGTATGTGGTAGTAGCCCCAAGTCTCTCCATTCGTGCACTATGGTGGTTGCGTCTCGATAGCTATAAGGGTGCGGGAGATATGGGGTTGAAAATGGTTAACTTCGAAAATGTGTAACAATGGAAGTGTCAACAATGGAAGTGTTAACAATAGAAGTGTTAACAATGGAAGAGTCAACAATGCAAGTGTTAACAATAGAAGTGTTAACAATGGAAGTGTTAAGAATGCAAATGTTAACAATGGAAGTGTTGAGTAACAAAGGAAGTGTTAATATAAAGCGGCATGCATTTACATGCGGTTTTTTGCGTTTTTGCGGGAAATCGAACATATTTTTAGACTCATGTAAAAATTCTCTAATTAGTCTGGAAACGGGGAACCTATTTCTTGCATTCTGTGAAAACGGGTAAGATTGGCTATAATGTAATTATCTTAATCTTCACTATCGTTACTTTTTGCCCACAAATAAAAACCCAGCAAAGTGGGTCCTTGCAGCTAGTTAAAAATAAAAAAATATTAGAATAACATTTGTAAATTTTTTTATGTAATTGGACATTGTGGCAAATAGTGGAGTGAATTATACTAAGAACAAATATGGAGTGAGACGAATAACGGACACGAAAAAAATAAATTTAAAAATGTACAAATGTACAAACGACGAAACGTACAAAGCTATCATTATAGAAAAAAAATTCAGATCATATTTACGTAGCTAAGTAATATTCTTAGAAAAATTTATGATAAAATCACGGCGAATAAAATGAAAAATGACTTCGTATAAGAAGGGATTGAAAAATGAAGATAAAAAATGAAACAGAGAAGTGGCCGTAATTTCTCAACACTGATATGTTGGGAAAAAAAGTTGTTATTAATTCGGAACGAAAAATAAACTATGATAGACGTAAAGAATGTATTTGAAAAAATTATAAATTAATTGATATTTTACACATAAAAATTAATAATTAATAAGTATTCAATTTTAGTGAAAAAATTGAATACTTATTTTTTCTCTGAAAATCGGTAGAATCTAAATCTTTTCCTCTTGATTACGTACTGTACATGAAACATTTTTCTTTCTCACAATTCAATGTAAACAATTAATTTGTATGCAAATTAAATTATTTTACTGCATTTATATCCACTCGATAAACTTTAATATAGCTTAAGATGCTTTTAAATTGTAAAAAATTAAAAAAAAAACAATTTTACAAGAAATATAAAAGTGTTTTATGAAATATCGAGTTTTTGAAAGCTGGTGATATGCATTTATATGAAAATGAATTTTCCTAAAGTGTTTACAATTTTCCATTTACTTAATTAAATATAATTTAAAAAAGAATGTGTAAATATATTTTTTTATATTGAGTAAAAGATAATTCTAAACTTTTTAAGGAATTGATTTTCGTGTGTAAAGCATGTCATCTAGTCACGAACACCTGATATTTCATACAACACTTTTGTTTTGTAGTTTTATATTGAAATTATATATAGAAATATATGAAAATAACACTCGTATAAATTTATATTTAATAATTAATCTAAAATTAATTATTTATTTTAAATTAATATTTGAATCTCTCTAAAAAATACAAGCGATTGTTTACACGTCATATATTTACACGCTTTCAAATCTAATTTAAAATGATTTTAATTGTTTTAAGATATTCTTTAATTATTTATGTCCGTGATCATAATTTACATTTTGGGAGATCGAATCTGAAATTTGCTTTGGGATAGTTGGGGCCAGAGCTGACTCACCGAAAATTATTGAGGATTTACGCGGAAACACGGTAGGGCTTAGTGGTGCACAAAGATTTACTCATTCATATTTTCATATATTTTAATATTAGTCTCATATTTTCGTGTCTGGTTACTTCGTTACCAACATAATTATCCTGAAATACGATTTCTATTAAAAACACGAATAAATTATGATTTGTAAAATGCACAAACGACTCAAATTTATTTTTGTATTTTTGTATCCATGGTAAAATCAAATCGTGCTGTAATTTTTGAAAGTATAAAAAAATTTAATTGCAAGTGTGAGATAAGCAAAATTTGTTTCATTCATAATTATTTTCCATATAAACAATCTTAAAAATATAAATAAATTTAAAATTATAGCAATTATTGAAAATTTTTTACATCACATTATACTTTTCGAAAGTGAAATTTTTCTTCTGTGTGTCCATCATAACCTTCTCGTATATATAATTACATTCGTCTTACTTACATATAAATTACTTATACAAAATTACTAATTCAAAATACATAATTCCTAGCATGTCGTTTCTTACTTCTAATTTTAATATTTTACATTACATCAAATTATTCCTGAATGACACAGCCTTTAAAATAAAACGGGATAATAATATTAATAAATAAAATATTTACGATTTTCAAAATAGAATACAGTCGACCCCCCCTATAACCCTGTTGATTTTTTTGTTTTATATAAATTCCATGTTGTACGAGTCACTTAGATTTTACAAATACGTGAGCCATTCACAGCCTGGCACACGTATTTGTAAAATCTAAGTGACTCGTACAACATGGAATCATATAAAACGGAAAAATCGACAGTGTTATAGGAGGTCGACTGTATATCATAATGTTACTTTCTCCATTTATTTATATTTTTTCAATTTTCTACATGATTTGCTCGTGTCATTTCTACTTTTTAGCCCATTAAAAATAAAGATATTTAATGAACTGAGATAAAAATGAAATGTGCAATAAATCATGTACAAAATTGCAAAAAATATTTAAATGTTCTTCAGTGGCGTGAATAGTTTTCTTTACTTGTGAATATCGCGTGTCAAGTGAATAATTTTCTGCATTCCAGATTTTTGTAAGCAATTGAAATATTTTTCGATCTGAATTGTCTTCTTCGCGATTATATTGTTTTAAAATGTTTTAGAAAAATATTTATTGTAGAACAACGAATATTATCATAAAACGGTCTTCTTATGCTGCTTATAACTATTGGTTTATTGCTGATAGTGTAGCTATTGGTAAATGAAAAGTACAAATATAAGCTTAATTTAATGCATTAATTATACAACTTACCAAAATAACATACTTCTTTCATTGTCAAATACTTTCTTTAGATGTTATCTGTAGATACTTCTTGAAACTTGACACTCAAATCTAATTCTATTGAATTATTTCGCGACTTCTTAAAATACTGCCAGCTTTCATGACAAAACAAAAACTAAATCACGAAAGACTCGGTTTATATTCGAAACGCAATTCAATAATACATTATTAAAATTTTAAAAACGTATATGATTTACCTTTTTTTTATTACTTCACTTAACATAATTGAAAGTGTCCATCATTTATAGAAAAAACCATAAATATAACCTGGAAAGTAATCATTCAATTTATTTGCTGTAAAAATTTTTGAAAGTGTTATTTGTTCGCAGAAAATGATTTCTCCATTTTAATCTATTGCAGTTTTTCTTTTTTAAACAATAACTATTTGCTCATCATGTGCTGGGCACAGGCAGCAAGCACTGTATGGTACATATGTAAGATGATGTGAGAACAGAACAGGGCGATCTGTTATAAAATAAATAAATTTTATTCGTTTTTTGAATAAAGTAATTTACTAACCTGAGAGATATTTAAAACACACAATTAACAGGTTAATGAAAATATTAAAAATTAAAAATATGGTATTTATCTTCACACATTTTTTTTCTTAAATGTTGTTCTAGAAGAACAACAGTTTTTCAGTGACTGAAATAACTATTAAAATCTCCTATATATTTATACCAATGTATTTCGTACAGTACATTGTACTTTTCTCTATTTAGAAGAGATGGGTTGTTATAAAGGGGGAGAGATGACGCTGATATCGTATATATTTTAAGATAATTATAGAGAGTGTATACTTCAAATATTTTCCTAATTCTGTAATTAATACAAAAAACTTGAAAAAAATGAACAGAGTGAATAAACAAAAAGAATCACTAAGCAAGAAAGCGATTGGAGTTACAATCATCATTATAATAAAATCAAGGAGAAGGTTATTGTGTACAATATAATAAAGATAAATGTACAAAATGTTTTAAAATTTATTCTCAGACTCGATGAAAATCACACTTATTTCAAAGTATAAATTAACATGGTGCCATGAATAAAACGTTTTCGCAATACACACATTTTCGTGCTTTGCATATTAGAAATAAAAAAAAAAACTTTAAAGTAATTTTCATGATTCAGACACACTAATTTATATTATGTAACACGTATAAACATTGAATACTATTTTATTTAGATTAATAACTGAAAATGAACATATTTTTGGGAATTTATTATTATTTATTTTTTGTGCAACATCTACATCAGATATTTAGTCTTACAGTTACAGATACAGATATTTAGTCTTACAGTTTAAAAATAATGTTCTTTATTCAGTTCACCTGTTCAGGTGAACTTAATAAAGAACATTATTTTTAAACTGTAAGACTAAATATCTGCATCCATAATTCCAGTATAATAAGTCCTGTTAATATATAGAATGTACTAGTATACAAAATAAATTATAAATAGTATCTACATCACTCGTTAAAAATATAAAAATTAAGTGTTTCTTCGTCATAAAATACCTAATTTTAAATTATCATCATTTTAAAATTAACATTGTTTCTAAAGAGATCAACAATGTCCTAGTATAATTTATTTTTCAATGAGTTCAATATTATTAAATACAAAACGGTTTCCTACATATGCTTCCTCTTCTTTCGTTTTACATATCCGTGTATTAATATTTGTATATATTAATAGAAGGATGCTTCATCCTCCACTAGCT